ATAGCCTTAAATAGACAAAATGCCGAGTAACCCTGGCAACCTTGCCTCTGCACCTCCAGGTAAAACAGAGGTAATTGAAAAAACTCTTTTTGGAAAAAAGAAAATCACTCTTTTAAGTTGAGTCCCACTCAGACAGCTGTCTTAAAGCATAAGACAATAACTCTGTCTTAAGACGGCCGTCTTAAACTTAAGACGATGACCGTCTTAAAGAAGTCATTGTCTTATGCTTAAGACGATGTCTTTTTTGTGTCAGGAGGATGGAGTAGTTTTAAAATTTAATGACTAAACAATCTCCACATCCCCCTGAATGTTTCAGACAATGACCATCTTTTAAGACAATGACTGTCTTATGTTTAAGACGGTCTTATACTCTATAAGACAGCTGTCTTAAGACAGAGTCATCGTCTGATACTTTAAGACAGCTGGTTATCTTGTAAATTTTAACAAAACTGTTTATAGCTTTTTTCCAAGAATCAATCTTTTTACCCCAAGGTGCTGTCCTCGCCCCTTTGGTAATTGCAGTAGGGAAGATATCTACAGAGGCCTACATGTATGCATATGCGGGGTCAGGCTTAGGCAAAGAGGAGGTGGAATTTGGGACTAGGTTCCGTGGAATCAGGGGGATAAGGTTCCATGGGATCAGGGATCAGGGGCGGCCGACAAATTGAGGACCAATAGCCACGAGGTGGAAGAAAGGGCTTGGCTTTGCAGCATCCACTGAGACATAAATGGGTGGCTTTCACAAGGACAATTGAGAGTCAGGCTTAGAGGAAGAACATCCTTTGGGATTAGCAATACTGGGTTTTGTTGGCATTGCCAGTATCAATGAATTGTAAAAGAATTTAGGCTCGAGGAGTGAGCATGCAGTCGCGGCAGCAAAACCCAGATAAGAAAACATGAAACAAGAAAACTTTCAATTTACAGAAGGAGACGGGAAAAGTATGCATGTTTACAACAATCAAAACAAGGTAGGAAAAGTAACAAGTAGCAACAAGTAGCAACAAGTAGCAACGAAATGAATCGAATCAATCTTGTGCCCTGTGATCTTTGTGGCAACGCCGTCACGCCTTCACATTATCGCTGGAGCAGCCAGCAAAAAAACATCCACAGGAGGAGGACTGCAGATCTTCTTGTATTCCCACCGACTTTTTCTGGCACGTATTCGGGTTTTGACTGGACTCTCTGGCAAGTGACAAGCTTGACCAAGTAAAAGCTGTCCAGCTTGAAGCTTCGCTGAAGGAGAAGCCCCATCCAGATCATGCAATTAACATCTACCTACCGACTAGCTACCTGGTAGCTACTACAGTTCGTGCAAAATTGTATGCATATCGGTAGCCATAGATGTGGCTGCTCAATCACTTTTCCAGGTCGATACTGTAGTGCTCCCCCGTTGCAGCTTGCAGGTCATGACACGGTCCTCATCATCAGTTGGTTACCTCCCGCTTCCAAACAGCTTGACCTGATGAGCCGCTTCCAAGCGAGCAAGAGTTTCATTCTAGTGGTACAATGTAACGTAATGCAGTAGCTGAGTAGTGGTTAGTAGTGGTATAGTACCACCGGTAACGGTGATCCGCCGTGGTTCTTTTGGGCTCATCATCAATACTCAGTACTCGAGTACTGTACCCGCACGTACAGCATTGTACTCGAGTACTATGGACACTTCATTTGGGTCGTGGAGATGTGAGACAAAGCTCTTGGCGGTACTGATGCTTGATAGTAAGTACTCCTTAGCTTGATGCGATCAGAAAAGGCGAACAAAAGGAACTGTTCTGACCAGAAGCTTCTGACCAATACCGATTTCTGCGTTTGGTAAATCTTCTACTTCAGTACTCAGATTCCCCTTCGGACTTCGGACAAACTAAGGTAAAAAGTGAACTCCTTGCCCTCGATCGAAGAGCGACAGTGGAACCAACTTGGAACAGCTCTTCGAACTAATCTCGCGGAAGCAGTCAGAGAGTGACGTGAGCCGAGTGACGACGTGATAGCTACTACGTACCGGTAACGGTAGCTATTAATTAACAGAGGAGACGAGACTACATGAATTTTAGAGCCGATCTTGCCAAAGACTATTATAGCTAGCTAGTTCACATGGAGTAGTCTACAAGATGAGATGAGATTCAAATCATCCGAAGTTCGAGGCACCAACCGTCTTGTAGACTAGTAAAAGCAAAAAAGAGGCATCGAGTCCCTCAGTCCCAGCCACTGCACCCACCCCAGCGGCCAAGAAAAAGTCAAAAACCGGCAGGAACTTCAGCATGGTAAAGACACCCGAACAAATTAGCCAGTACTGGTACCGTAGCAATGAATTCACCTCCTCGGCATTCGGCAACCATTATTCTTTGGCATGATGTTGTTGGAGGCAGTTCCATCCAAGAGCTACAGTATCCAAGCGTAAGGCAACAACGTCAACCAGTTTCGTCTGTGCAGCTTGACCAGCTCAGAAAGCATACCGGTTCATACTGTACATATAATGTCATGCTCACGGTGGTGGGCTGCTTGAACTTTGGAGCCTTTTTATAGCGACTGGCGACTGAAAAGAATCGTCTCGCCAGCTTCCGGATTTACATTAACTATCTTACATACATCACACTGAATTAAGCTTATCAAAATTGCCCTAATGTCGAGAGACTGCCGTAAAACAGCTTAGTTTAAGTGAAACTGCTTTCGAGCAGGGGGGTGGAGAAAATCAATGCAGCTACTGTAGCTCCTACTAGTATGCTGCCACTGCTTCCACTCAAGGAGCCACTTTCCACTGTCTTTACCACTACCAACCACTGTCCCACAGAAATGGGACCAGGTTGATATTTTAAAATAGTTTGGGATGGTGCTGGATTTCTCCACCCCCCAGTATGATCATAATTGTTAAAAGAATCTTGTTGGCGGCTACTGAGAACATGACATTGTAGCTAGTGGTACTCAGTACATGTACTTGAATACGTGATTAGTAGTCGAGGAATTCGCTGACTACTATCTTCCGGTCAGGTATGTACCTACTGTACCGGTACATGTTGTACTCCAAGGAATGATTGGCTGAGACGTGAGTGGAAATAAATTGAAATTCTCCTGGAAGCTGGAAGGGTTCACCGAAGAGAGCTGTGCTGGATACTGAGTAGCTACTGGTAGTGGATTTAATTAACCTCCAGCCAATACCGATTTCTGAATCTTGTAAATCTTTGAACCTTCGGGAAAACTTTTAGCTGTTTCGCACTGCATTCTCACTCAAGAAGAACACAAATAAATGTTATTAATGATGACCCTGTGGATGGCATCTTATTCAGGCTTCCGTCCAGGCATTCAAAGGTAGGTCTCAAAGAAATCAGTACGGTATCAGTGCGGGATACCAAGCGTGCATTCAGTCGTCAACCAAGCTAGTACGTAGTAGAAAACCCGCCAAAACCAAGCAAAGCACAACAGCGGCAAGCGTACTACTTCTCCAGTAACAACAGCAAACCAACAAACTACTAGCTAGTACGTAGTCTAACAAAAACCAAAGAGAGTAACAAAAGAGAGTTTCAAAGTGATTGATCGATTGGATTGATTGATACACCTGATTGATATATCTCTATAGTAGAGACTTTTCTCAAGTACTTTGCTAGCTAGCTATCTACCGATAGAAGAGACTTGCGTGACAAAACTCGGATTGTCTGTGATTTTACTAGTAGTCTACCTAGCTAGAAGTACAGAGAGAAGAGAAAGAAGAGTAGAGTACCACACATACTAGTACATATATACGAAAGAAGATTTCTACCAGACAGGATGAAGCGTCGTGTTTCATTTGCCCATGTGGACGACGATCCAGAAGAACAACAACAGCAACAGCAGCAACAGCAACAAGCTGCCATCACTACTACTACGTCGGGACCGTACGGCGCTCGCAACGACGATCCAGATGACTACGATGACGACGACGATGATGGTGACGACACCATTCTTACCGATATTAGCAGTGTCGTGAGTGGCGGCCCCAAGTACGTTTTCTCCGGTGCCTTTCTGGGTAGTGGCAGTGACGATGACAATGACCAGGATGACGACGACGATGACGAAGACGAAGAAATTGGAGCCGGACAAGTCGCGGCCAAACCCCCGCCAAAGGATCCTGACTTTGATCGTCGAGCCACCTATCACAAGATTTTCATGACGGACAAAAAAGCCAAGAGAATCGTCGAAAACACTGTAGAACGTGAAAAACGCAGCAGTCCGGTACACCAGGAGGAGGAATTTGATGAAGAAGGTCAAGTTCGCGCACAGGATCCTGGAGTACTGGTAGATCGCCGAGCCACGTATCAGCAGATTTTTATGACCGACAAGAAAGCCAAAAGAATCGCCGAAAACGCTGTAGAACGTGAAAAACGCAGCAGTCCGGTAAAGGAGGAGGAATTTGACGAAGAGGGTCAAGTTCGCGCCCAGGATGCCAATAACACGGAAGAACTCCATGATGCCGATCTCATTAACGAGGCTACCAAGGAGAAACCTCTCAAAGTCAAACTAGGTTGTGACGAGGCAGAAGTGTCGGAAAACTCGGATGAGTTGCACGCCTGGGCAAGCGAGAGTCAGCAGGATCATATCGATTTGGGCGATGAGGAGGACGCCGATGATGAAGCTTCGGATGATGACAAAAACGACGATGACGACGGCAGCAAGAAGGATGACGACAGCGCCAGGGAAGCCGATGCGGAAAATCCGGACAATCCCGATGAAGACAATGATGTGGATTTGAACAGTGATTCTGCTTCTTGCACCACCCTCAATTCAGCGGACCTTCGGGAGCAAGCCATCCAGGAGAGTTTGCTCTACATGTTCTATGAAAAACTTGGTTGTGCCGTTTTGGCTCCCATTTTAACCCCCATCATGGCATTCTTGACAAAGTGTCTTGCCAAAATCATGAAGAAAATGCGGGGAGATGAGGAGGTGGATCTAGAAGATGCAGCCGAAGAACTTGCCGATGCAGCGATGGATCAAGTCGGAGATTCTGCCTTCAATGCAATGGCACAGAGTCACTACGGTGGATTTAGTGGAGGTGGAGGTGGCGGTGGAGCAGGTGGTGGTGGTGGTGGAGGAGGTGGGGCTGGAATGGCTGGTGGTGTTCCCATGCCTGTTGGCCCTCCCCCAGGAGTTGCGGAAATGGCCACCGCTGCTGCCAACTCGGCGGCATCCGCGAGTGCCAGGTAAACGATGAAGCTGTGTTGTTTGTCCTGAAAGTGTTGTGCAAATAATGAGTCAACCCTCACTTTGACTACTGCTTGACCCATCAGTGGTGCAGCAGCAGGAGCAGGGGCCTCAACTGCCGCTGCTGGTATGGCTTCTGCAGCTGGTAGGTCCCACAAGACAGTCATTTCGTGCTACCTGCAGGTTGTGTTGGCATTCATCTCCTCATGTTTTCCTTGTAACCATCTTAGCCACCGCTACTGTATCTCAAGTTGGAGCTGCAATTGGCATGGCTGCTGTTACGGCGGCTGCAGTATCCTCTTCGGTGGTCTTGGTATCACAAACAAATACTTTTGTCGATGATTTTGTTCCGCCCATTTGTGAAGACTCACAGGTTCTAAAGGAGGGATTCGTAGAGCTGCAGATTCAAGGAATGCCTCCTTCGGCACTCCCAGACCGAAAGTTTGACTTGGAATATGTAAGTGTTTGTCTTTGCCTCGCTCTACCAAACTTCAACACCTTTTGGTGGTCACTCTCTGAATATGAACTGACCACTGGTTCTTTCTTTGTTTTGCTTTTGGCTCTTCTACAGTTGTTTCGCGGTGGGTATTGTACCCAGCAACACTATGCCCTTAAGTTGTCTTGTTCCTCCCTTCTCACTCCCTCTTTGTCTTGGACATCTTGCAGATGTTTACAATTCGATCACGGTATGTCAATATTTTTAGGTTTTGGAGAAAGTTGTTTTCATGCTCGCTAACAGAACGGGGATCATATCCCACACGATAATAGGGAATGTGTCTGGACCCATTCAAACGTGTCATGCACGTAGCTGTAGTTGAAGATTGGACAACAGTGTATGGAAACGAATCTGACTACTTGATTCTCGAAAGCAACACAACAACAAAGGCAGAGAAACGAGCTGTCATTGATGCCAGTATTACTACTACGCATTGGTCTGCATATGTTGCCTGTGATGGATGTCCTGATCATGAGCCTCTTTTTGAACCAGGAGAAATAGGAGATGAAACAGCAAGAGGTAGGAGGCGTTTGAGGCTATCTGATCTTTGCAGTCCAGAGTATCGCGACAAAGAATTCTATAAACGGGTCAGAAAGAGGGTCCGAGAACTCCGTGAACTAGCGGGTGAGGATATTGAAAGTGAGTTGCCCCAGATGCTTTACGACCTCGACCAATTCTTTGCTTTGTTTGCAGCCATGTTTGGATACAACCTCGAACCTGTATTGAGTGGTCGCGTCATCAGAGACCAATATGGCAACGTCATCTACCTGCAGCCTCCTCCAGGGAATGGTACTAATGCCATCAGAGTTATATTTGGTGCAACAAAACCTGCCTTAGATGGTGGCATTAACTCTACATCTTCAGTCAGTTCCATCGGCTTGGAGGATATTGAGCATTACCAAGATGATGTGATTGCCAGTAATGGGACAATTCGCACTCCATTTGTTTCTAATGAACTGGTGGCTTTTGAACAGTCAGTCGCACAATGTGCCAACACATCGTCAGGTGGAGGCCAAAATTCGAAGTTTTGCCAGACGGTCCTCAACAGTGATCAGTTCGATTCACAGACACTCGCTGACTGTTTTGCCAGCCCGGGACAGCTTGAGTGTCAAGAGTTGTTACCTGACCTCATGACTGTGTTAGATGAAGCTGTGGAAGAAGGGGATCCAATTGTGGTTGGTGCCGACGAGGTAGAGGAGAGGGCAAGAGAGAAACTCTCACTCAAACCAACATCGTCGCCGACTGCCAAACCAACCTATGTCCCAGCAAGTGCGCCATCGAGCTTGGCGTCGATAGAGTTGGCTGCTAGTCCCAGTCTATTACAGGGGAGTGGAAGTACTGGATCTGCTTCTGCCACTATTGGGGATGGAAGTACTGGATCTACTTCTACCCCTATTGGTGATGGAAGCTCTGGGTCAGAGAATGATTCAGCAACTACGTTTTATTCTACAACACTGTTCAATGATGATACATCAGTGTCAGAAGGGGGTGGAAGTGGTGGGGACTCTGGATTTGGATCCTCTGGCTCAGAGACCGAAGGTAGTGGACAGAGTGGTGGCAATTCTGACTCGTCTGGGGGCAGTGGATTGGTTTCTGGTGGCGCTTCTGTTCAGGATGATGACATCACTATGTCATCTACTTCTGATTCTGAGCAGTACATAGATGGCGATGATGATGCATCGAACGTGGACGATGTTACAAAAGACGATGATGTTGCGTCTGACGTGGATGATGAGACAACCTTCAGCGGTGGCACTGAGGACGTTATTGTAACTGATGATGATGCTAGCTCCGCGGCAAGAGAAGATGCAGGTGAGCTGCCTCCTGAAACCACCAGTGGTGAACTTGAAGAAGCTACATCGACTGAGAGCCTGAACGGGGCACCAGTGGGTCCATCTACACCAAGTGCCATGGGCCCAGAGACAGCCCAGAGTCCTGTGTCTGGTGGGACTAGTCCTTCAGTGCCCTCAGCAACAGTTGTTGGGGCCCCAACGCTTGACGGTGTTGTTGGGGCTCCCAGTGTATCAGCTTCGCCTCTTGCACCTAGTGCAAGCCTGAGTCCTTTTTCCGGGGCAACTGGTGAAACGGTGCCATCGTTGAGTACAGGGATTGCTGCACCATCTTTGCCATCTGTAAACACAGTTGGCTCCCCAGCAATTGCAGGGGCTCCCAGTTCATCACTAGCACCTGGAACACTGGCACCAGGGGCAAGCCACAGTCCATTGGCTATCGGCCCATCAGTACCATCAGCGAGTTCCCCATCTGTTGCCAGTGGTGCTGGGACTCCCAGTTCATCAATTGCACCTGCAGCACTGGCACCAGGTGCAAGCCTAAGTCCCTTGTCTGCTGGAAGTGGTGAACCCGTGCCTTCATTGGCTACGGGAGTCCCGGCACCATCTGTACCATCTGCGATTACGGCTGGTGGCCCAACTGTTGGTGGTGGACTTGGGACTCCCAGCACAACAATATCACCCGGAGCAAGTCAGAGTCCTGCTGGACCCATGCCCTCCATGAATGGTGCTGCTACAGGAGTACTTGCACCATCAATCGCAGAGACTCAAACTGCTGAGGATTCTATTGGCGCTCCAGATTCCTCTCTTTCTCCTGGAACATCTGAACCAGGTACTACGGAGACCTCGCCTTCTACACTGGAACCCACAGCAGAGGATACCCTCGCTAGCACTGCTGAGGGAACTCAAGCTGCTACGATTGAAGTAACACAGGAAAGCACTCAGGAACTCACACAACAGGTAACTCCTGAAACATCTACTGATGCCATGCTTGAAGTCACATCTGAGCCTACGCAAGCGGTATCATCTGGAAATTCTGCTCTGCAGACACCTGAACGCACAAGTGAGCCAACTGCTGATGGCACCTCAGATGCAACCTCTGGTGCCACTCCAGATGCAACCCCTATTGCTACCCCAGAAGAATCAAATGATTCCACCTTGGAGACAACAGTCGATACCACCACAGATGGCACGCAGGATGGAACCCCCGATGAAACCTTCGACAACACATTGGATGGAAGTGCATGCACATACATAACAACAACTGCAAGGATATTGGTGGAGTTTGACGGTGACACAACTGCGATCACAGACCCTCAACTCACCACAGCATTTGAAAATGCGTATGGAACGTTAGCCTTCACACACTGCCCACCAGCACTTCTTTCTACACGGGTGGCAGCACGATTGGCACGGAGAAAACTTCAAGCTTCAGTCGTCACGCAAGTGCAATTCGAAGTGCAAACGAATTCTACTTTGGGTCAAGGATGGATCGAAACTGACGGTACAAAAGCTTCCTTCTTGAGTGCTTTCAACACTGAAGTAGGACCATATGGAATATCTGCAGTCCAAGTAGGAGAGGAAGTGACCACAAGCCCTCCCCCCACCTCACTCACTAATACTACTTCTGGTGATGGGCCAACTGCCCCAAGCGCTTCAAATTCCAACAATCCTTCAAATTTGGCTCCCAATGTGACATTGGATGACACAGCTAGCAGCAACAGCACCACATCGAACACAACTACTAGTCCCGGCAACCAGAATTCCAACAGCCCAGCTAGCCCAACCACTCTGTCCAATATGACCGCTAGTCCCATCAGTCAGAATTCAAGTAGTGTCAGCCCGGTTGCACTGTCGAATTCAACTTCGAGTCCCAATGGTCAAAATTCCAGCAGCATTAGTCCCGCCAGTCCTGCCACTCTATCCAATACAACTACAAGTCCTACCAGTCAGAATTCCAGCATTGCCAGCCCCCCCAGTCCTACCACTCTGTCGAACACAACATCAAGTCCCATCAGTCAAAATTCCAGTAGCGCAAGTCCAACTGACCCTACTACACTGTCCAACTCAACTTCAAGTCCTATCAATCAAAATTCGAGCAGTGCCGTTCCCAGAAGCCCAACAACTACACCATCCAATGCTACTGGCCCAGCCACTGTGCCTCCCAATGCGACTGTGGGTGAGCCAACTGCCAGCCCAACTACCAGCCCCATCCTGCTTTCTAATTTGACCTCAAGTCCCAACACTCAGAACTCGAGTACCTCCAGCCCATTCACTGGAAGCCCAACAATCATGTCATCAAATGCGACAAGTGCTGCTAGTGAAATCCCCACCAGCCCAGCCACTGTGCCTCCCAATGTATCAATTGGAGAGCCTACAATCAATCCAACTGTAGTATCCAGCAATCAGAATTCAAGTACTGCCAATCCCACCACTGGAAGCACCAGACAAGCCCCATCCAATATGACAAATCCAAGTGGTACTTCAGCCAACCCCAGCGAGTTCCCTTCAGTAGTACCAAGCAAACTATCAAGTGAAAATCCATCCATGTATCCCAGTAATGGCCCAAGCTTGGGAAGCACATCTCCCAGTATGGGTCCAAGCCAAGGTCCTAGTGTACTACCCAGCCAAGTACCATCTAAATCACCCAGCCAACAGCCATCCACATCACCAAGTGCCATTCCAACATCCCACCCCTCAGACACACCCACTTCACCCCCCAGCACCGGAACTCCCACTACCCTGTCCCCGAGTTCTGCCAGCCCCAGCACTGGCAGTCCATCCACCACCGGTCCGAGCACGGCAAGTCCCAGCACTTCGGGCCCAACCACCATGTCGCCCAGTACCATTGGTCCCAGCACGGCCATCCCGAGCACCTCGGTTCCCACTGTGACCGTTGGCGAACCCAGTGCCGCACCCACCACTCTGTCCCCGACAACTGTTGGCCCCACAAGTCAGAGTCCCAGCAGTGACGCTCCTTCCACTCAGAGCCCAAGCACCGTTGGTCCCACAACTCAGAGTCCAAGCACCGGAGTGCCCAGTACCTCGTCTCCAAGTACCGGCGGCCCAACAACGGTTGGTCCTAGCACAGACAGCCCCAGCACCGGTGTTCCCACTACTGTTGGCCCCAGCACATCAGGCCCAACTACCCTGTCAGAGTACGTTGTACGGCCATCCCAGCACTTTGAGCCCCAGCACGGGAACGCCCACTACCTGTCTCCCAGTACGGCAGGCCCGCACGCGCGCCCCCGGCCGACTCCACACCACCGGCCCGAGCATGAAAGTCCAAGCACGGAACCCACTACTTGTCGCCCAGTACTGTTGGCGCGCACCAGCACCGCCATCCCGAGCACCTGTTCCCACGTGACCGCTGGGAACCCAGGCGCACCCACCACCTGTCCCACAACTTTGGCCCCACAAGTCAGAGTCCAGCATGACGCTCCTCCACCAGAGCCCAACACTGTTGGTCCCACAACCAGAGCCCAAGCACCGGAGTGCCCAGTACCTGTCTCCAAGTACGGTGTCACGACAGCCCAGCACGGGTTCCCACTCTGTTGGCCCCAGCACTCAGGCCCAACACCCTGTCGCCGAGTACCGTTGGTCCAAGCACATCAGCACTTTGAGCCCCAGCACGGGAACGCCCATACCCTGTCTCCCAGTACGGCAGCCCCAGCACAGGCGGTCCACACCACCGGCCGACGCCAGCGACATGAGTCCAAGCACGGAAGCCCGACTACCTTGTCGCCCAGTACTTTGGCCCCACCAGCGCCAGCCCCAGCACGGCCAGCCCGAGCACCTGGTTCCCACGTGACCGTTGGGAACCAGTGCGCACCCACCACCTTCCCCACAACTTTGGCCCACAAGTCAGAGTCCAGCATGATTCGCCTTCCACTCAGAGCCAAGCACTGTTGGTCCCACAACGCAGAGTCCAAGCACCGGAGTGCCCAGTACCTTGTCTCCAAGTACCGGTAGCCCAACAACTGTTGGCCCCAGCACGGGCGTCCCCACTACTGTTGGCCCCAGCACTATGAGCCCAACCACCCTGTCGCCGAGTACCGTTGGTCCAAGCACTTTGAGCCCCAGCACGGGAACGCCCACTACCCTGTCTCCCAGTACTGCTGGCCCCAGCACGTCCGGTCCGACTACCACCGGCCCGAGCACTGAAAGTCCAAGCACGGGAAGCCCGACTACCTTGTCGCCCAGTACTGTTGGCCCCACCAGTGCAAGCCCAAGCACCGCAAGCCCCAGCACGGCCATCCCGAGCACCTTGGTTCCCACAGTGACCGCTGGTGAACCCAGCGCCGCACCCACCACACTGTCCCCCACGACTCTTGGCCCCACAAGTCAGAGTCCGAGCACTGATTCGCCTTCCACTCAGAGCCCAAGCACTGTTGGTCCCACAACGCAGAGTCCAAGCACCGGAGTGCCCAGTACCTTGTCTCCAAGTACCGGCAGCCCAACAACGGTTGGACCTAGCAATGCTGGTCCCAGTACAGTTTCTGCAAGCCCTACCGGCCCAAATTCCGTGAGCCCCACCATGTGTGAATATACAACTTCTACGCATGATACCACGATTGAATTTGACGGTGATACAACATCCATATCAGATGAGGAACTGACGTCTGCCTTCGAAACTTCTTTTGAATCAGTAGATTACGAGGAGTGTGCACCCAATCTCGAATCCACAAGTATATTGGAAAGAACCTCTAGGAGAAGGCTTGAAGAACTTTTGTTCCATTCTGTGAAATTTCAGCTCCAAATTACATCCAACAGTCCCGAAAGTTGGATATTATCCAGTGAAACAGAAGCTTCTTTCTTGCTGTCCTTTAATGGTGCGATACAATCTTTTGGAATTTCAGCACTCAGGATGCAAGATAATCCATCCTCCCTAACTGCAAACCCCAGCACCGGCGGTCCGACTACT